ATGGCCTTGTCGGCCTATGTTTTGAGTATACAAATGATATTGTCGGCCTTATAGGCCCTTATGTCACATGTGTAAGTTTTTATATCATGCTGGGTCATCCTATGTCTAGTATGCCCTTAATGTTTTATTCTGGTTATCTCATGACAGCCCTTCTGGCCTAATTACCCATAATGGTATGATAAGAAAGATACATTACGGTGGTACTCGGTTGGGTAAGGCCCCGAGTGCCCGTCGCGACCCTCCAGTTTGGGTCGTGACAATTTAGTCGGGGTCTGAGTCAAAGTCGGGCTCCATTCCTCGCGCCCGAACTAATGCACAAATCCATGCGGTCAACTTCTTCTAAGCCTTATTTGGGTACACCCCACACTTATCTTTCTTGCTCATCGCATGCCTCTCTTTCGAACCCTTTACTTTCTACTCAACAATTATCGTTGTTTTGTCCTTTTGCACCCCCTTTACTTCATCCATCTTAAAAGTCACAGTCTCCTCACCCACTCTAAGCATGTGTTTTCTCTCTTGTATATCTAATATAGCTTTGCTCGTCGCTAAGAATGGTCTTCCTAGGATGAGGGAGACCTCCTTGTTTTCCTCCATATTCACCACTATAAAATCCATAGGAAATACGAACTTATCCACCCGAACTAACACATCTTCCACTATCCCCTCAGGTGTTATAGTTGTTTGATCTGCCAGCTATAATGATATGGGTGTAGACCTTTTCTCTCCAATCTCCTTCTCCAGCTTCCTGTAGATAGATAGAGGCATAATAATCACATAAGGATTTATCAAAATTAATAATTCCTAAAGAGCAAGGTATAGTAAAACTCCCTGGATCTCCACACTTTTGTGGGGGTTTATTTTGCAATATCGCATTGCAATGCTCTGTGAGCTTGACCGCTGAGGTCTCCTCTACTTTCCTCTTCTTCGTAAGGATTTCTTTCAAGAATTTAGCATAAGTAGGCATTTGTGAGAGCACTTTTGTGAATGGTAAGTTTACATGAACTTGTTTCAGTACATCCAGAAATCTCTCAAACTGCTTGTCCAGCTTTTCTCTACATAGCTTTTGGGGGAAAGGTAAAACAGGCATATGCTTGCGCTCCTCAGGTTCCTCCCTTCTCGAGTATTCTTTCTTCTTCTTTTTCTCAGCTTTCCTTTGGCCTTTCTTCTTCTTATTAACATCAATTTTCAGCTTCTCCCCACTTTCTTTTTCAAGTCTCACATCTTTTTGGATTAGGGTGAGATGTTTCAACAATTGCCACTTCTCAAAGTTACAACATTCATTGTTTCTTTGGGATTTCTTTCAGTATCATCAGGAAGAGTTCCTGGAATTCTCTCAAATAATATTGTTGCAATTTGTCCCACTTGCTTCTATAAATTTTGAATTGATGCCCCTTATACTTCAAATCTTTCATCAGTTTTCATAATGAAGGCCTTCATGAGATCTTCTAGACCAGACTGATTGGGCCGTTGAGTCTGAAACTGTTGTCGCGGCTGATTCATAAAACTAGGAGCTCATTTTCCTTGGAATATGGGGCTGTTTTGTTGCTATGCATTTGCAGGACCCGCAGGTGAAATCCATGAAAAATCGGGGTGCTTCTGACCCATTGCATTAAGATTATAATTTCCCACAGCATTCACTTCCTCAGTTAAGACTTGACACTTATGAGTAGGGTGTCCTCTTCCACATATATCACAAGCTGCATGAGGCTCACTTTGTATCGTGGCTAAGGTCAGCTTTCGTATTTCTTTAGCCATAGCATCAAGTTGTACATGCACAGATGTATTAGCATCAACTTGGTGAACACCAGTTGATCTTCTTCTTTCAGCACTCTCAGAGGGCCATTGATTAGCATCTTCAGATAACTCATCAAGAATTGAAACTATCTCCTCTGGAGTCTTCTTCATCAAAGGGCCTCCGGCTGCATTGTGCAATGTTCTACGCGAGGCCGGTGTCAATCCATCCCAAAAGTCCTGGAGTTGCATCTAGAGTTCAATTCCACTATGTTGACACTTTCTAACTATCTCCTTAACTCTAGATAATTCACTTCTAATGTTCAAGTGAGTCTCTCGAATTCACACAATTATTAGTTTAAACGTTTAGCAGAAACTCCTCTCTCGATTAAGTCTCAACCTCACGAGATGAACCAAATTAAGCACTATTAAGATATGCAAGAATGCGTAGTGGATTGGTCCTTAGGAAAACCTCTTTCGATTATTCTCTTAACTAGGTTTAATCAATGATTCAGCTAGCCTCTTTCGATTACTTAGAAGGATCTATGAATTCAACCAATAATATAATGCAAAGATATCACAAGTTATGCCTCTCTCAATCACATGAACTAGTGAATATAGATGCAACAATTAAATCATCCAAAACGCTTCAATACATAAAACTAGAGTTATAATCCACAAACAATCATCAATACACCAAATCCATCAAAACCTAAGGTGAACTACTCCATAGAAATGGAGAAATTCATCACAAATATAACTGAAGTATATGAAAACATAAATTCAATCCAAACTCGGATCTTGAGTGAGGAAGGAATGATGCAATCCTTGTACTTTGTTCTTCCAACTCCTCCTTAGCCTCCTTAGGTCGAAAGCATGTCAAAAGTCCAAAAAATAACGTTTTTCCATATGTTTATATCAAGTAAGGTCGGGCCCAGACAAAATCACCCTTTCCTAGCCGAATAGGAAAATAACTCTGGGAAAAATACACAAGCACGCTACATGGGGCGACGCTCCTCGCGAGGCATTAGTGGGACTTATCAGATAGCATGCCGTTTTGTCAAGCAACAGGAAATGCACTGTTGCATCGCACCACGCCCCATAGCAGTGCAAATTCTTCAGAGCTCGGCTTCAAACTTGATTTTTGATGTCCAGACTTGGTACTCGACCCCCGAACACGATCCCAGCTTAATTCCTTAGGCTTATACTCAGACTTCAAAGCTCCAAATAGCTCGAAGTAGCTCCATAACATCTACACAACTCGAAATCACTCCTACAAGGCATAAAACACACAATAAGTGCAAAATACTACCAATTAAAGCTTAAACGCAAGTAAAGTGCGGTGAATTAGAGTGCAATAAGCGACTAAAACATAGGATTATAGCCTACCATCATGAGTCCAATAACACCAAAGTCAAAAGCTCTCAAATTCTTCAAATTGCCAACTTTTGCCAAATAGAACCAAAACCTTCTAGGAACATCTAAATCCAAATCTGAACACACCCAAATCTAAAAATACCATACGAATCTATCGAATCCTTGAAATCTCGTTTCTGAGATTGTTTACTTAAAAGTCAAACCTTGATAAATTCTGTCAACTTAAAGCTTCCAAATTAAGAATTACTCTACCAAACAGTCTTGAATCCCTCGAACATCAAAACTAACCATACACGCAAGTCATGGTACATCTTATGAAGCTGCTCAAAGTCTCAAACCACCGAACAAAATGCTAAAACTCAAAACGATCGATCATCGTTACATTGATATTATAAGTCCGCAGAAATCCAAACAGCAATAGTTATTTCAGGGATTTACGCAAATATTCTTTAGTCACATCGGGCCACTCTCAATAGCGTATTGAGGACGTGCTGCTCTTTTACTCGCTCGGAAAATGCAGCACCTTAGGTTCAGTTGGATAATCAATTATAGCGCAGTCCCCCTCAGCTGTCATTGCCTGATGGTCGGCAACTAGCTGTAACACCTTTTGCGAATGTGTGGTGAATGAGGGCCTGCATATGCTCCAGATACTTCTGGTTTCGTCCAAGGGATACTCCTCTGCGTAGTTCATGTGCTTCTTTTCAAATTCACGCATGTAACGGATTCAGTAGCTTATAGAGTTGGACAATACTTTTATTATTTATAAAACCAAAAAAAAGGGTACAAAATGCTGTAAAATAATGACGGGGATCTGGTCGTATGTAGTAAACACACCAATTAATATACACCAATTACACTTCAATTCTGAAGCAGTTCGTATCATCATAGATTGCTTTTGATATGTAATTACAGACATAATTACAACAATTAGAATTTGTGCTATGACAATAACCACACGCTATGTCCCAATTCCGGTTGTTCAGGAAGGAGGTTGGTCACCACTTTCCTACGGACTCAAAGTCACTCAAGAAGCCAACATCACCCAACCTAAGAAAAAATACATATAGTATATGATACAGCTGATAATTACCTTCCAACAAAATAATACTAACAATTATATGCACATTAAACCATTATCTGCAGCTCTGAATTTCTATTAGTGATATTTGCTTTCGTGAACTTATGAAACTTGATTCTGAGCAGACGGCCTATGATTGATAATTGCTCTCTTTGTTTGGCAGTTGTTTATCCTTGTAATACATAGGAGCTGTATTGCAGAGACTCCCGCATGCCAGACCTATATTGAGCTCACCTGAATTTTGTTTCCTTACCACAACTATTCAGGTTGTCACGTGTACCAAGGTCATCAGCCTCACGAGCCAGAGAAAGTTTGTCCCTTGCTCCTAAAACCAACTTCTGAGGACGACCCAGCCTTTGGCTAAGATCAATTTCTTTCAATCTTGCCAAGGCGCCCATTTGAGTCTGTCTTCCCAAGAGCCTTTTTACCATATCATCCAGTTCCACAATTTTTCTCTGTAAGTTGGTCCTATCCATCTGTGAACACGGTGGGAAAAGGAACAGCAATATCATTATTAACTAATTCACCAGTATAACATTTATCTCCTAATATGGGCCAGAGAAGAAAAGTTCATACTTTCAGCATTTCATTTTGAGCAGTCAGCAACTGATCACGTTCTCGTAACTGTTCTATGCACATCTGGGATGATAACACGTCTGCCTCACTATTTTTCACTTCCAAAATGTATCTAAAAATTGGTAAATAGTCAGAACCCATCATACAACATCCTACAACCAGAATCTAAGTAGAAGATTATACTGGTTATTCTCAAATACTAGAAGATTTATCAATCCTACGCACTTTCTGGAAGAACTTGAATGATAATTTGAGTAACTCCAAGAGAAACACCATTTAATTGATTGGCCTCTCATTCAATAAGACACTCCACTGCCAATCATATTACTAATATGACATATCATTCCTTGTCTACTCAGTACCGGTTAAATTTAAGAATGAGGAAGACAAAAAGTAACTTACCTCTCTCTTTCTTCAACTAGATCATCAATTTGTCTCCTTAGATCTGAAAGTTGTCTCTCCTGTAATAACATAAACCAGTGTAAGGCTCACAATGAAAATAAGTATTTGTTTCCTATTAAGCATACCATTGCCATGCGCTCTTCTGATTGTTGTTGAGCCTCCACAAATTTTTGCAGTTGATACTGCTTTATCAAATTCTAGAACATACAGAAAAAAGGTCCTTAAAAACTCAGAAGCAGAAATACACAAGAAAATAAAGAGGTTTTAGTTGGGAACTTACTGCATAACTAGTCATGTCCAGCTTGACACCAAGCAAATCCCGAATTACATCATGTGTCATGTTTTCTGTTGCAGCCAGTCTACTGTTCAGCATACAAATCTGACAACATATACAGTCATAAATATGTGCAGAAAGAGTAATCATATCAAATCATACTATATTGTAAATGCGAGGAGTTTTAGTTGAAGTTATTCTATTAAAATATCCTTCAGAAATTGAATGACCATATCACCCTCTTAATTTACCCTCTAATATATCTCTCATTAAATGTTTTACACCTCTTTCTCCCTCCTTTCTATTCCTCTATACAAACTTTTTAATTTCAAATATCTGATGTTGGATTATAAAGTCTAGCTTGGAGTGGTAGGAAAACTTATGTTGGCATTAAAAATATGTTCAATGTGTATGGTGTTCTTTGTCCAAAAAAGAATGTGTGAATTCACAACTAAAGATCATGAAATATTAATGTGGCAGTTAAAAGTTCCATCTTTAATACAAGGAAATATAGGACAACTGAATGGGCGGAGGTTACATTTGGAATGAATGGGAGATAAAAAGTCAAATAATTGTTTGGATTAACTTTTGTGGCTTTATAATCCCCTTTCCTGAGAATTCATTCACTGCCATTAGTTTTGCAATGACATTTCTAGATGAAGAACTTTCTATAATACATCCAGTATCATAGCGTGGGAAATTAGACATGCTATGCCATGTACATTTCGGAAGCATGGTATTGAAGAAAGATAATTTAATGCTTATGCTTGATGTTTTTATCACTTATTAGTAGTTTCCTTTTTATTTCTTTTGACAAAAATATTCTTATGTTGAGATCTCATGGATTCAATTTGTGTAACAGCAAAGTTGTTTTTTCTGTTTTTTGTCCTTACTTTCCTTTTTCCTCTTTTGCGAACCACTCTTGGCTTATGTCTTTTGTTTGTTTTTACTTGATATCAATCTTTGATGTACAATATTTTTGTCTTTAAATTTGAATTAAGAAATTGAGGTCATAATTCTATAATAAAATTTACAAGGAATTGCCTTAGATATTTTTATTAACATCTTTTTTTTCTCTAATTTCCATAAAAATTTTATTAAAAAAAAGGTATCCGTTGGGCCCATTAGGCCCACTAGGGTCCACTTAGCTCGCAGGTCGGGACCGTTTAGCCCGGGACCATTAGTTCGTGGGCCTGATCCTGGGCCGGTTACTACAAAAAGACCACCGGGACTGGGACCGTTTGGCCCGTTTAATTTGGGACCAGCCCAGGACCGGGACCGGGACCGTTTGGACCAACCCACTTAAGCCCGGGACCGTCCCACTTGCCACCCTTAATAGGAGTAAAGGCTATTGATATATATTTAAGAACTTGTGAAGTATATTAGCAAAGATCTAATAGAGGCAATCTATCACAACCTTGTTCAATTCCATGAACTGAAGCAATCTCAATAGGTAGCACAATTTAAGACCAAATCACGGGTGTACATGACTTAAGTGGCAAATATGCAATTGCATCTACTTCTCATTTCAGAAAACCAACAAAGTTACTCTTGGTTATTGTCTCAACAGTGCTATAACTATCTGTTCATCTTCTGCACTTCCAAGTTTCAAAGATCTCCTGCTACTTTTATATTATTATTAGTTTCTAGGCACGCGCGTTGTGCTTATACCTCACATTATTGGGTACCAATATAAAATAGTTTTAAAAATATGTGAGTTATAAAATTAAAGTCGATAAAAGGAAAAATGCAAGTTTCTTAATCATATTTAGTCAACTCAATAAAGCAAGAACCTTGATTTATAGAAATCTTCAACTCTTTAGTGGAAATTCGCTATATGAGTTATGTACTTGCTTTACAACTCCAAACAAGCATGCACATTCTAGAAGATGGAGAAATATCTTTAACATGAGAAATCACAATTAAAACATGAAAAAAAATATCTAAGCTTCTTTGCAGTGAAAATATATGGCGTTTAACATGACCATGCTTATCTTTGATCTTGGAACAATGACGCAACTAAAAATAAATGTAACAAATAAATCAACAATTTAAAAATATCACAAAAGTAAAATAAAAGGACGAAGATGCTATGTGGAACATCAATAAGAGATATTCAAAGCAATGCATTATAATTTTATTATAGCATTAAAAAAAATATGGCAATATCTTTCTTAGTCTTCCTCCCCCTATGGAATGAGCTCAACACGGTGCTAATACCACCATTGAGAAGAAAAAGAAACTAATCAAGATGTGCCAAAATACAAGTTACATAATACATACTCCCTCCGTTCCAATTTATGTGAACCTGTTTGACTGGGTACGGAGTTTAAGAAAAAATGAAGACTTTTAGAATTTGTGGTCCTAAACAAGTCAAAAAGGGGTCCAGAGTATTTGTGTGGTTATAAAAGCTTTCCATTAAAGGTAGAATTGGAAGTTTAAGCTAAATTATTTCCAAATTTAGAAAGGGGTCATTTTTTTGACCAAAAAGGAAATAGGTTCACATAAACTGAAACGGAGGGAGTACTAATTTTTGTTCATACAAGTTACATGGTATCTCTTACAAACTTCATAAATCCATTAAGGTCCGGAGGAATTTCCATTGGTGGTGGCGGAAAAGAAGCTTGGTCATCACCGCTTCCGGGCGAAGCAGAATCCTCCGCAAGTTCAGCTAGCATTTCTTCGTAAGCTTCCTTGCCACAAGTTTTACACTTAGCCTTATTTTCTGGAATTAGTTGAATAAAAAATGGTCAAACAAGAGGTGTTTCTGTCAGTTTGGTACGTTGTCTAGAAAAAGTAGGGGCAGTAACAGGAGTATCAGACGGGGCATCATTTGGATTATCACTAGTTGGGTTAACTTCAGGAGCAGGACTAGTGGGTGTATCGTCATCCAGTTGAGCTTCATCAAAATCTATTTCCTCCGCGCCATTTTCATCAATAGTTGGATTAGAATAAAGAACATTCATTAATTCATGGTCTAATTGTTCACCAACTCCAACATTATGGCAAAATTGACTCTCAGTAAATTGTAATAAACTATTATCGCTATCAAAAATAACAGATGTAGGACGGATATGGGGTTTGGATCGAGTACACGGGGGCAGTGGAGGAAGAACAGATTGACCACTAGATTCGCCACTCTTGGATTTTTCCTTATTTTACCAAAAGGTTTTTTTAAGGAAGCCATCTTAATTAATTAAGCAATAGAAAATAAATAAAACAGATAAAACTATAATATTAAAACTTAAGAGTTGGAACGAGTTTACCGAATTGACGAACAACTTGTTGAAAATTGATTATTGTTGAAGACTTGAAAACTTCAATTCACCAACTTCAAAAAGTTTTCACAAATTGTAACAATAAAGTAAGCAATAGTAGCAATTATAGAAGAAAATTAGAGAGAGATTGTGATAGATTGATCATTTTGTAAGAAAAATAAAAGAATGAGGGGGTATTTATAGTTGAAAATAAGGAAAAAGTGTAATTATAAAAAGTTTAGGGTTAAAACAAAGTTGGGCGGGTTAAATGACTATTTTGGAAATAGCCAACGGCTATTTTTTAAAGGCCAACGGCTATTTTTTAAAGGCCAACGGCCAGATTTTTCAAAGCCTAACGGAAAATTTTATTTTTTTTTGAATTTTGACCTTTGGGACCGTTTGGGCCCGCCAAGGACCGGTCTGGTCCCGGTCCCAAACAGTCCCGGGCCTAGCGGTCCTAAAGTGAAGAATCGTCCCAGAAGCTCGGACCAGGCCCACGTACACGGTTCTAACCGGTTCAGGCCCGTTTAGGCCCAGAAGCCCGTTTGGCCCGCGGTTGCCACCCTTAACTCCTATTAAGGAGGAGCAACATATAAAATATGTACAGTAACAGAATTCCCCATTTTTTTTGTAGAGCTTAGGCAGTAAAATGGCAGTTCTTTTTCATTAACGGTGGTGTCTGGTCTAGTCTTGATGCACCTTAGGAATCCATCTGCTTCTTGCTACCTCCCACCAGTACAAGTACCAAGTAACTTTGCATACCAAGGCTTAGGGAAATGAGAACACTTTACATAGTGTTACTGATGAGATTTGATGTGGATTACTATATTTACAACATCCCAAAAGTTGCTAAGTATCATATTTAGGAACCACCCCACGAGCAAAGGCATTAGCTTTCTGCAGCTACCATGTCTAAAATATGACTCCTGCATGAAAAACTTTATTATCTAAAAGTACATACCTCCTTCTGTTTTTGAGCCAGTAACACCTCTAGCTCTTCTATGCGAAATTTAGCTGCTGACAGTTCCTGGTCTTTCTCACTATTCATCTGCTGAACCAAACTGGAAATGCATCTGAAAGGTGAGCTTGAACCTCTTGTCCTGGTTGAGCTTGAGCACTTCTCTGTCTTATCTGAAGTTGGTCCTCCATTTAGTGTGTTTAATGAGTGAGTTTCAAGTCCATGCAGCACTGCCTCCAACTCCTTGTACTGATATCACAAATGGCGAATGAGAGCTGGTAACTGTCTCTTATTTATAAGCATGATATCACCATACAGAAAACTACGGCACAGAGATTTGGCTACAGCTCCAAGTGGACTGTGCAGTCTCTAGCGTGGAACTTACATTAGAAGATTGTAAATGGTTTTTCCTTTCCAATTGTAATTATAAATTCCTTTCCCATAAAAAGCTGTGAGTTCAAAGAAATTTTTAAGTCTAGTCTGGGCAATATTCAAAGATTTTCCATAAGAAGAAACTCACAGCATAAGTTTCAACAAACCAACAACAACCACCCAGTATAATCCCACGAGTGGGGTCTGGGAAGGGTAGTGTGTACGCAGACCTTACCTCTATCCTGGGGCGTAGAGAGGCTGTTTACGATAGACCCTCGGGCCTCGGCCACAGCACAAGTTTCACTTTGCAGAATTAATTTTAACGCCTGAAGTAAATTCAGTGGATTCCCTAGCACTAGGCCTAAAATGTGGATTTTGAAATCTCGTCCTGAGAAACGAATTAGAGATACAGAGGTTTTGCTGCTTGATTTTGTTATTTACTTGCTCACAACTATAGGTTATATGGACTTGCTATGCTTTACAATACCTTTTGTTGATACTGTGATGCTTGGGCTTGGGCGTGCAACAAGATTTCTGAAATGTATTCCTTGTATTGTTTTATCTACAACATATAAACCAAAGCTAAATATTATGTGGAAAATATGGCTGGACAAAAAGTCTTATAATGAAAGATATCAACCTGTGACACAAGAACCTACCTCTTTAGTTAGCTCTGCTTTTTCTTCTTCCAGATCTCCTATTCGGTAATAAAACTCAGTAGGCTCCACGAACCTGCCATATAGTTTCTTGATCAATGTCACATCATATACCATATCATGGTTATGTATCAAATCATCCTGTATGCAATTAAACCACATGAACTTTCTGACCTCGAAAATTGATCCTTTGTGGACAGTTCACCTGAGCTCTTCATGTCCATACTTCGAGAGTTCTCAACCATTAATAATCTTTTTCTTAGCGCTTGAAGTTCCAGTTCTAATGAATCTCTAATCAGGCGATCTCTTTCTACCTCTTCTTCCATTTCATGTACCTCAAAAAGGGGATAAAATAAAGGACTTGAATTTCTTAACATCAAACCAAAAGAATAAAGCTTGCATGTTATATTGTTTGTTTTATTTTAAAAGGTCATTCCACATTTAAAGGAGAGCTCAACTTGAATTAAAAAGTTGTACTACTCCTGATTTTGTCAGGGGCCAATGAACAGTTAGCATTTTCAAGTCTGAACATAATTAAAATGTGGAAAGGCTTACCTTATTCTCCAGTACATTTATGGTGCCGTCAAGTTCCTCAACTGAGTGTTCTAAAATCTTAACCTCCTCATCTTTTTGTTCAGCATACATTTTACTGGCTTCTGATGCCTGGTAAATTAAGAAGTAAGTCATCAGTGCAGGACATGTCCATCAAAGTTTAACTAGTTAAATATTCTTCAGAAAATACAAACCTGGTGAGCTTGTACAGCAATAGCTTCGTTCTCATCAGCTAGTGAACATGCCATATCAAGCCTGTCTTGCAGGAACCGGAGTTGTTCAAGAAGCTGATTCTTTTCTCCAGTAACCCTCTTGAGATCATCTTCTGTATCTTTATCTGTCATCGATGGTATCAGTTGTTTCTCTGCAGAGGAGGTCAGCCAAAGAATTTCATTTTCTAGGCTTTTCACAATCTCCCTTTGTTCTTCCAACTCATCCTCTGTTTGAGACTTCTTCATACAAAGATCATCTAAAAGAGCTCTCAACTCAGAGTTTTGATTTGAGAAAGTATCCAATTCTCTTCTAGTCCCTTCATGATCAGATTTTGAGGCAAATAGATCACTCTCCATCTCTTTCAGCCGATTTTCAAGAGTTCTGTGCTGAATGAGCATTTCATCTAGTTGATGTTCTTTAGTAGATAACTCATTTTGAGCTTGATCCAAAGCTGCAATTAACTTGTCAACTTCATCCGTGATATCCTTTCTGCTAGAAGCTGATTCTTGCAATAAGCTAATGTCAAATAGCAAACCTTTCAGCAAAGCTTCTTTTCGTTCCAATTCTTTTCTAAGCTCCAAGTTTTCATTTTTGCTGTTGATCTGGTCTAAACCCAACTCTTTATCCTCCATTTGTCCAAAGCTTGTCATTCCATCCAGTTCTTCTTTATCCATTATCATGCCAATATTACAACTTCCGCAACTTCTCCCCAAGTCATGTATAGAATCTATAGCTTCGCAACGGTATAGCACAGAAGAGGATATACCATTCTTCATAGTGTCAAAAACAATACCTTCCAGTAATAAATTTGAGTTGCCAATGAGGTTCAGTGTCTCTTCTGCCATTCTAAAAGCATCAGCAAACAATGTTTTCAAAAATTCCTCCACATCTTTTTGCATATCCAAGAAAGACCCTTCAAGCAAGGACATTGTATTTGAAATTTCTTGCAAGCTGCAACAGGCCTCATCCTGTAATATTCCTATTTCTTCATCTCTCTGTCGAATGGAGGACTTAAGTTGTTTGACATCTTCAACCAGGCTTGCTTTCTGCTCCAGTAATTCCTCTTCTGCTTGTCTCAACATAGAAGTCAACTTTTTTTCATTTTCATTCACTTTAACCAGAGTATTTAACGTGTAATCTACTTCTTTGATGGTTGAGAAGGCTTGCTCAAACTTCTTAAAGAAGTTTTTCTCTTCAGTGATTTCGTCACCAGCTTCTTCCTGCAAGCTCAGAATGACCCCCAAGAAAACAATAGTGAATTTTCAGAACTTATGAGAGCAGGGAACTACTTTATCTAGTAATACAAAGATAAAACCACAACAATTTGACCTCTTTTCTTACCTAAGCATAAAAGGATGCTAAGTTTCAGAATTCAATTTAAGTTTATTGAAAAACTATTTGACATCTGTATTACCTCTCTCCTGTAGTTGCAGCTAAATTCAGCTCCATGCATCATCATTTTATGACCCTGAATTATTTCATTTTGTTGATTCTTGATTGGCTGCTGGTCATTCAGTTTTGCAAGTTCAGCTGAATCAGAGAGATACATCACTGGGGGTGAACCCTCTTCTTTCTCATTGAAAACGGAATAAAACTGAGCATTTACTTTGGCAAAAGCACCATATGCCATTTTAAAATTCCTCCTCAAATGCAGTAGTGTTGTGCCTTCTAGATTCAAATTCTTCGGTATGCTTTGTGAATTACCACTGTGGGGAGATGTATTTGACCTTTTTCCTGAAGCAACACTTTCAGTTGAAAGATTAGAACATGAAGCCAAACAGTCAGTTGTCCATCCATCTGATTCACTTGGATCTTCAGTTGTATCAGGGCATAGATGCAAATTTAAAATCCTGCTAAGATTTTCTGTGATGTGATTCAGTTTCTCGTTTGTTTCAACAAGTTCATACCTAATCTGATGCAGCAGTTTCTGCTGTTTGTTATGGTCATGAAGCTTACTGGTATCACTTGATGGAAATCCAACTGCATGGTACTGAGAACTACCATTTTCCATTAGATCATAGAACTTATTCCTCATCTGATGGATAAGATCTAGAAATTCTTGATTGAACTCCTTGAACAAGCAAATCATTTTATAGTCGTCTGATTGGAGGCCTGACAGATAGTTTTGTGCATCAAAGCAAAGAGCATTTACAGCATTCTCCACCTCCAGTAGCTTTAACCTTGCCAACTCAATATTATTTTCATTAGCTATCAATGCTAATACACTTTCACTTGAACTGTCTCCTTTTGTGAGGTTTCTGTCAAGACTATCAGATCCATCATTTGCAGAAAATGAAGCAGCATGAACCTCAGCGGTGTGGTTCCCCTTGTGCAGCAGATGTTTTTCTAAAGATTCCAACCTACTGATTTGATCATCTAAAGAAGAAACTAGCTGGAATGCTTCCTTGTCGCTTGACTCATTGTCTAACTGCTGAGCTTGAGTAAAAGTCATTGTTGCACCTTTCAGAGAATTCAATTTCCCATCCATTTGCAATATGCCCCGTTGTGCTTCTTCTAAACTCCTTCTTAACAAAAGAATGGTTTCTTCCTTCTCAACACAAATTTTAGCAGCTCTCTCAACATGTTCACCAATGCAAGCATTGATGTCAGGAAATGAGCAAGCTATATGTTCTATGTGGGAGGAAGCATCTCGCAGGGACTTAGAACCATCTACTAGAAAGGATGTTAGCTCCAAAGTTGCTCTTTCCCATTCCATGCACAGCACCTCTATTTCTTCCTCTTTAGCTGCCAGATAGTTCTTTAAACTCATGTTTTCATCAGCCATTAAGCATAATTTCTCCTGTAGTTCGGACTTCATTGCAACAATCTCTACCTGCATATGAAGAATCGCTTTAGTTGTTTCTGCTTCAACTTCCTCACGCACTAACTCAGTTTGGTGTTCCTCTGACAACTTTAATGCATGATCTTCCAGATATTGGCTATTAAGCAAGCGAGCCTCCCCAAGGTCCTTGGACATTTTCTCCAACTTAGCTTGCAAAGCCACCATGCAGAGGTCTCCATTACTGTCCTGATTTTCAAAAACAGAGCCTCTTGACTCATGGTTATCAGGTTTATGCCTGTGTTGTATCCCAGCCCTTTCAGTTTCACGCAGCTGCTTAGACAGCCTTTGATTTTCTTCCCTTGTGAATTCTAGCTCTTCTATTAGCTTAACTTGTTCCTGTTCCATTGCTTCCATCGAGGATCTTGCTTCAACCAACTGTTTCATGATATCTTTATGCTGCGAAATGGAGGCCCAATCAGTTTCGACAACTTCTTGATATTTGGATTTTCCACCTTCTAGCGGGTCTTGTGATGCCCTGTTTACTTTATCAGCTTCAGTTGACATGGTCTCCACCTGTTAAAGTACCGGTTAGACAACAGCATAAACAAAGAGTTCAGTATCTCAATTGATTTTATCTTCCCTGCCCTCTATATCTGCAAATAATTTTCCAGCTTGGGATTTCTATATGTCAAGGAGGAAAATTTAAACCTTGTTAAAGAAAAAATGTAGGATCCTCTTACAAAATCAAATGCAGCTTGGTTAAAGTTCACATGTTTTCCCAATTCACCTTGCAATTCATCAACCTCACTGCAAACCGAAAGACAGATCAGAAGCAGAACCAAAAGAAAGCTTTTGAATGAGAACAGTAATGAAATTTGAACTCTCATTTCATTGAGGCAATACTATGAGAGATTGCCATGTTGTTACTTGTTTGGATGTCAAGAAAGAAAGTTCAATCTTGTCACACCATAGTTTCGAAATTATAACACCATAGTTTCGAAATTATAACTTAGAAGGGTAAAATTAATAGATGTATTTTGACAAATAAGCATGAACGCGCGCGCACATATATGAGTTCCACTCAGTTGGTAAGCGATATAAGCAATCTTTGTGCTCCGAAAGAAATTAAATTTGTTGATGTTAGTTTCATTGTATAAATAGTAGTAAATAACTCTAATCCCATATGTATTAAGAGTAGGACATGTATTGTATATATAGGGCTCATTGTATCATTGCCATTTTTAATCAATAAGATTTTTCTCTCGTGCATTCTCACATGGTATCAGAGCACTCGTGAGATATTTATCGATGTGCATAAATTCTAGCGACTCCGGAAAGAAAGAAAAAAAATATAGCCTTTTTCCAGCAAAACAGTATTGTCCGCAGAAAAAGTCCATATCCATTGGTGTTGTGCAAAAAACTAACACCACCACGAGATAGATCATCTTCCGGCGACCAAACCCTAAAAATTTCTCCGACAGAAACCCTTCCACGCGCCCTCACGCGCCGCCGGGAGAATATTTTCCGGCAAGTCTCCGACCTCACGCGCCGGCGCGTGAGGCTTCTTCCTGCCATTTTTTGGCCGAGCTTCTTCAGGACAGCCTGGTCGCACAGCAATTCCGAGTCCATTGGTACTATTTCCGACAGATTCCGACAACTTTGGAATTTTCCGGCGAGCTACAGTGATTTTTCCGACGTGAACAGTAATTTCTAGAAAATTTCTGCTTTTTCGGTGCAACATTATAATGGCATTCGTATCAGAAGCCTTTAACTCACAATCCGTCGGATCCAATTCGTTGAATCCAATCCAGATGGTTTCTTTACCAGATTATATTGAGTTCCTTCAGTACAAAGCACATAAACAGACATCTTCAGGATTAGCCTCAGTTGTTCCAACAGATAGTAACGTGCCTTGTGTCTCCCAATCTTTAACTTCTGAGTCTTGGGTCATTGATTCAGGTGTATCTGATCATATTTCTGGTAACAAATCTCTTTTCACTAGTATTTCATATTCCCAATCTCCTCCAACAATCACAATGGCCAATGGGTCTCAAGCCATGGCATTTGCAATAGGTCAAGCAAGTCCACTTCCTTCCTTACCTTTAGACTCAGTTCTTTATGTTCCTGGTAGTCCTTTTAATCTCATAGCCGTTAGTCGCTTAGCCAAATCACTTAAATATGTTGTTTTATTTCTTGATGACCTTGTTTTTATACAGGAACGCAGTACAGGGCGGATCATTGGTACCGGACGTGAATCTGATGGGCTTTATTACCTTATCCTTGCAAAATCACATGGACTCGCATCTTGTCTTCCTCTAATAACTTCTCTCGTTACTGATTCACCAGATTTATTACATAAACGGTTAGGACATCCCAGTTTGTCAAAACTTCAGAAAATAGTACCTGGCTTATCTCACTTGTCCACTCTAGAGTGTGAGTCGTGTCAGCTCGGTAAGCATACCTGCTCCCATTTCCCGCGGCATCTTGACAATCGAGCAGAGTCACCATTTACTTTAGTCCATTCAGATGTTTGGGGTCCTAGTCGGGTTAGTTCTACCTTAGGATTCCGCTACTTTGTCAGTTTCATTGATGATTATTCCAGGTGCACTTGGATATTTTTGATGAAAAATCGATCTGAGTTGTTTTCTATTTTCCAGATCTTTCATGCTGAAATTCAAAATCAATTTGGGGTTTCTATCCGCATATTTCGTAGTGATAATGCCCTAGAGTATTGGTCTTCCCCATTTCAGCAGTTTATGAACTCCCATGGGATTATTCATCAAACATCTTGTCCGTACACATCCCAACAAAATGGGGTAGCTGAAAGAAAGAATAGATATCTTATTGAAACTGCTCGTACCCTACTCATACAATCTCATGTTCCGCTGCGGTTTTGGGGGATGCAGTTCTTACATCTTGTTATCTTATTAATCGTATGTCATCTTCAGCTATCCAAAATCAAGTTCCATTTTCTATCCTGTTTCCCCACTTACCTTTGTTCTCTCTTCCACCCCGTGTCTGTGGGAGTACGTGCTTTGTTCATGACCTTACTCCAGGAAAAGATAAGTTAGCTCCTCATGCTCTTAAGTGCATATTTCTAGGTTACCCGAGAACGCAAAAGGGATATCGATGTTATTCTCCTGACCTTCAGTGATTTCTTATGCCTGCTGATGTTACCTTCTTTGAAACTCAATCATACTTCACAGGTCCAGTTAATCACTTAGATATTTCTGAGGTGCTACTTGTTCCTTCTTTTGGAGATTCAGTCCCTATCTCCCATTCATCTTCCTTTATAGCTTCACCATCTACAGCTCCAGTTACAGCTCCACCACCTATAGCTCCAGTGTCACCACCGAGTCCAGTGCCACCACCTAGTCCAGTTCCACCAACTATAGCTCCAATACCACCACCTAGTCCAGTTCCACCAACTATAGCTCCAGTGCCACCACTTAGTCCACTTAGTCCACCAATTATAGTGATACCTTCTCTCCTGTGGCATCAGTTCGCCTTTTTTCTATCCATGGCTGCAGTTCGTCATTGGCCCCTCTATCAGTTGGACATTAAGAATGCTTTTCTTCACGGTAACCTTGAGGATGAGGTTTATATGGAGCAACCACCTGGTTTTGTTGCTCAGGGGGACTCTAGTGGCCTTGTCTATCGGTTGCGCCGGTCCCTCTATGGTCTGAAGCTGTCTCCTCGAGCCTGGGTTGGTAAGTTCAACACAGTTATTCAGGAGTTTGGCATGACTCGTAGTGAAGCTGATCACTCTGTTTTTCATCGACATTCTACTTCAAATCTCTGTATTTATCTGGTCGTTTATGTTGACGATATTGTTATTACCGGCAATGATCAGGATGGCATTAGTAAATTGAAGCAACATCTCTATCAACACTTTCAGACTAAGGATCTGGGCAGATTAAAGTATTTGGTGCTTATTTGGAGTCCAATGGGATAGTCTATTAGACTAATTGTCCTTACAATAGTCCACAAAAATGGGGCAGTGCTATGTACCATGCTGTAAAAGGTTAAGACCAACAATAACCACCTTTGTAATTTCTTTTTCTGGAGGTCATGGTTTTATGTCCCTTTTCAATGTACGAATCTCATGTTAATATACGAGGTAGGGGACTTTAAAAAAAAAGTCCACAAATAGGGTCGTTGAAAGAAAAAATAGGCATTTGTTAGAAGTAGCAAGATCTCTTATGTTCACCACGCATCTACTAAAACCTTTATGCGATGATGCTATTCTAGTGACTACCTATCTTATCAATAGAATGTCACTTAGATCCTCAATTTTAAAAGTCCTCTGAAAGCTTTAAAGGGTAAGAATGAATATATTGCTCCTCCAAAGGTGTTTGGGTGTATTTGCTTTGTACACCCTAGGAATTATGGGAAACTTGATCCTAGAGCTATAAAGTGTGTTTTCATTGGGTATTCTCCAACACGAAAAAGGTTATAACTATTATCATCCTCCCTCTATGAGATCTTTTGTTAGCATGGATGTTACCTTTCGAGAATCTGAACCATATTTCAGTATTACCTCATCGCCTCTTTAGGGGGAGAGCAATAAGGAGGAAGAGGTGATTCTACCTAGTTTCATTACTGGATCTCTTGATGACATTGTCATAGGGGAAAGTGAAATTGGAGAAAGAATTCAAGGGGAGACTATTGGGTGTTTGGATATGCCTGATTTGAAAACTTACTCAAGGTGAAATAGAACAGAAAAAGCCATCATGCAATTTACTGAAGCTGTACTTTCTTCTACTGATGAGTTATCTATATTTCCTAAAGAGTTAGATGTGCTTAATGCTCATAGAAAAGGAGTCACATCTTGCACCACCAAACACCCTCTATCTAATTTTGTCTCTTATAATTCTTTGTCTCCTTCCTATAGAACCTTTGTTTTGTCTATTTCTTCTGTGTCTATTCCCCAAAATTGGAGAGAAGCTTTAACAGATCCTAAATGGAAGCAGGCTATGATTGAAGAAATGAAGGCCTTGTCAAAAAATGAGACTTGGGAACTTGTCACTTTACCCCTCGATAAGAAGTTGGTTGGCTGCAAATGGGTCTTCACTGTGAAGTACAAAGCTGATGGCTCGATCGAAAGATTCAAAGCAAGATTGGTGGCTAAGAAATTTACACAGACTTATGGAGTGGATTATCAAGAGACACTTGCCCCTGTTGCTGAGATGAAAACTATTAGAATTCTTTTGCCTTGTGCAGCTAATCTTGATTGGGACTTGCAATAGTTTGATGTGAAGAATGTATTTCTTTATGGAGACTTAGAAGAATAGGTGTATATGGAGATTCCTCCTGGATTTGATACTGCACAAAGTCAAAGAAAGGTATGCAGATTGAAGAAAGCCTTGTACATACTGAAGCAATCTCCCAAAGCTTGGTTTGACAGATTCTGCAAAGCAATGATCTCCTTCGGTTACCAACAAAGCAATGTTGATCACATCCTCTTCATAAGACATCAAACGGGTAAACTCACTCTTCTCATAATTTATGTTGATGACATAGTACAACACGAGAGTTGGCCCGATTGAAGAATTGTTGGCACAAGAATTTGAGATCAAGGAACTAGGAAAATTATAGTACCTCTTAGGAATTGAGGTTGCTAGATCAAAAAGAGGAATCTTTAATTCTCAATGGAAGTATATTCTGGATCTCTTAAAAGAAACGGGTATAGCAAATTGCAAACCAGCAAAATCGCTCATTGAAAGTAATCACAAATTACAAACAAGAGTTGGAGAGTCAATTGATAAGGAGAGATATCAAAGGTCGGGCGAAAGACTCATTTATCTCTCTCATACTAGACCTGACATAGCCTATTCAGTCACCTTGCTGAGCCAGTTCATGCATGATCCCCAGATCCTCATATGCTAGATGTCTTTCACATTTTGTGGTATTTTAAGTTTGCTCCAGGCAAAGGTCTGCTTTTCTCCAAACATGGTTACCTTCAGGTAGAAGCCTATATATGCGGATTGGGCTGGATCTTTAGATGATAGAAGATCTACATCCGGTTACTGTACACTCATAGGAGGGAATTTGGTTACTTGGAAAAGCAAGAAGCAAAGTGTAGTTACTAGATCAAGTGCGGAAGCAAAATATAGAGCTATGACCTAGGATGTCTGTGAACTTCTTTAGTTACTAAAGTTACTAGAGGAATTGAGACTGTCTGGAAAGCGAAAACTTTCCTTATATTGTGAAAACAAGGATGCCATCAGCATAGTTCATAATCCAGTGCAGCATGACCGAATAAAGCATGTTAAAATTGATCGATACTTCATCAAAGAATAAGTTACTTGAGCTTGTTTCATGTGTCATTAGAAATGCAGCTAGCTGATGTGTTTACTAAGGGTCTCAACAGACAGACTTTTCATACATTGGTTAGCAAGTTGGGCATGTGTGACATCTTTGCACTAACTTGAAAAGTGTTGATTGGCTTAATTATTAGGAAAGATTTGATTCTGATTGAGATATATTTGATTATGATTGAGATTTGATTTTATTCTGATTGATTGTAATTGATTGCAAATTGATTGTAATTTATTTATCTTTCTAAAATAGTCATAAGACCTAGTGTATAAATACATTTGCTTAGGGATGTAAGAAATACACAGATGTCAATGCTTCTTTTATTACTATTAGAGATAGCTATGTAGTTGTCCCACATTGGAATAGGAGTAGTATCCCCTTTGTATAGAGTAGCTATAAATAGCACCTCTTGTATTGCAT